TATGATATTCAATGTCCATTTGCCATTCCACAATTTATTTCACTGTTCATTCATTCATTTCATTCATGGCAAATCATTCATAYATTTAAACCAAGACAAATTACACATGTAAGAATATCTTGAATGATTTATCAATATTACAGCAACTTGGAACAAAATGTCAGATTAACCAAACACAGGGCTCACTAATTTAACAAAGCATTTAATATTCAATCAGAAAAAAAGCTCCTCTATCTACTCCCCATGATGGCAGCCCATCAGCAATGGTAGGCAAAGATGGACCACTTCCTTTTTTTCCTTTTTTTATCAAGAAAAAACGGTTTGAACACGGAAATCCAATTTTTACAGGGCATTAAAAAGATATTTCCAGAGGTTAACTCAAGATTAACCGGCTTTTCAAACATAATCACACAATGAACCATTTACTTTGTTAACAAATGAGATAAAGATTTATATCCCCATACAAAGAAACAAAAGACACGAAGAAATAAAGCAGAAGAAAGTGTTTTAGAAGTAATTACAACTACCCTCTAAGGCTACATGTTTAAGTTACAACTTCGAACTGTGTTTCCTTAAAAATCAATGAAGCACATTTCTTCCCTATTTCACCAAAAATGTCTTTATTTTGGAGGAGTAATATTTGCAGTAGATATTTAGCTATTGTCTGTCTATGAACACATACTAACATGTAACAAAGAAGTTATCTTACCTTATAAAAATCAAAAGCTTCCTTGCGAGCCGCCATGTTGGATTTMAGACCAATGCCGTGTAACCACGTCGGGAAAAATGTTTGGGGAGGGGTAGGGGGATTGTACAAAACGAGACAACTTGCAACTTCATAATTCATATATTCAAGTAATAATATAATTCTTCATGTCAATTTAAAAAGATTATAACCTTTTAAAAGATTTTCGCATTATTTGAAAAGTAATTTTCAAGCTTCTTTCAAATTAAGATAAATCGTATAATCTGCTATGCCCTCCCCACTAAAGTATTTTTATCCCCACATACCCATAGTAAGCAACTTTTGTACTTTCTTTGAGAAGTTGGCATAGCAACTGAGCAGTTTTCAAACCAATATGGCGGCTGCCAGGATGAATTTCTGAAAATGCACCGTTTTCAAGCACTAAAAATACAATTTTCAAGGCAAACCATCTACTAAGTTGCATTCCTTTGGAATTCTATCATTCAAAAGCATCCATAGACGTTATCAGCGATGCTATCGGGCAGCGATCAAAACTTTGTGACGGGATTTTCAAGCCAATGTTTCCCAGTGAGGAGTTTGGCAAATTATAGAAAGATTGACGAAGGTAGGTTTGCTGGATATGAACTGMGAAGTTAGACAATTGATAGTTAAACTTGTAAACCAAGAATGAAGTAAATTCCTTAAGTGACATCTCTGGGTTGGTACTTCCCCTTTCACTATAAAAAATTATGGCAAGTGTCTTGCTCAATAAGTATCTTTTGAACATGGATTTTTCGTTGACCAGTAATAAGCTCAATGATGTTCTAAATTCTGATATATGATTATTTTATGAAAGGCAGGCATAAATACAAACATATAACTTCAAATTGCGTCATTTTTGTGGCAATTATTACCACAAAAAAATGAAGTCAAAATATTTACAAATTATTTAAAAGAATTAAAATAAGCTTAATAATAAAAAGATTAGCTTAATTAAATAATAATAATCAGGGCATCTCAAGATTTTGTATATTATCTCCCAATCTCAAGATTGCAACTGAAAATGGAAAAACTCTTATGTTTATTAAGTTTATTTACAAAAAATTAGGACCTTATTTACTACAAAGTGAAATTTTGGTGGTATGCAGATGTTCTTTTGGGGTTGTTGGTGTTTTTATGTTTTGCTATTCAAAAAACGTATAACAAAAATATGGCAGATCTATCGATCTCAAGATACATGTATCAAATTGCCAGGATTTGACTGCAGATCTTTGTTATGGACCCGGGGTTATGGATCAGTTTGACACCATTATCTTATTATTCTAGGTGGAGCATGGCTAGTAGCCTATAAAGCAGAACAACGTCAGAGGTTCAAAGCAGTATTAAGTAATGAACCAATTGTCCCAAAACCAGCTAAAGAAAACTTGCATGAAAAAAGGCAGACGCCAGAGCCAACACAGAGCAAGTCAAAAAAGCTTGATGGCTTTTATTTGGTATATGCTCATTTATTATCCTATTTATTATTTGTCTGTTTTTATCTGCTGTGATACAACATTATTGATTTTTGACTTTCTTTATCCATAGATGAAGAAATTCTTTGTAGAAGATCCATCTGACTTGTGCTCCGTCAACATAAGTGGAAAAGGACTTTACAATGTTAGTAGTACATAATTTACTTTGAAAACTTTTAATTAGCATGACTTAAGGTGGCATGTATCTTTTAGGTATCTGAGGATGATTTTCTATTGTTTGACAATGTGGTTCATGTTGATGCTGGAGACAACAATTTGCCTTTCAGTAAGTACTGTAAAATGCACATACTTCTCRTCTTGTCCTCATTGTTCAATCTTTTAATTATATTTATAATACAAAAATAAAATAGTGGAAAACCATGTAAATTATACAAACAAAATAGCATGATTCAAAAAGTGTTCTTTTCTTTATTATCATTATCTATTAATACAAATGATTAATAATGTAATAATGCTATTATTAATCATTTGTATGTATAGTTTAAAACACGAGAGAGAGTGTTTTATCAGGTATAAAGATTCTCGCCTTCGGCTCGAATCTTTATACCTGATAAAACACTCTCTCTCGTGTTTTAAACTATACATACAAATGATTAATAATGTAATAATGCTATTATCTGTTGAAACTTTAGATGCTTTCAGGAACTTCATGTCACTGCGAGAGCTTGAATTTCCTCTCAATCATGTATCAGGAGGAGTCAATGTAGGTCCACATGATTTCCTCCTTCTGGAGAAGCTTGATTTGTCCTATAATAGGCTCACATCTGATGATATCCTTGCCTTGGGAGTCATYCCATGTCTTAAGACCTTGCATCTATCAGGTAAAATAATTCAAATATCACCATTTTTTTCATTAACCTTATGAATTGTAATTCCATCTCTGTTTATACTGTACATTGGTCCATTGATTGTTTCATACGTCATACACTCCCTTTGTTTTGCTCATTATTTTTTATTCTTTGAAAGGAAATGAATTGAGGAGTCTACCAATGGAGATGGCCAGAACATACCGTGCTATTACAGGAGTGACTATGTATGTAACATTTCAGTTATCATTAACTGGTTTGGAGTACTTACTTGACAAAAAGACTAATCCTCTGACCACTTCAGTTTGCCTACCATCACCTTACTGATTAAGACTTGATTATCAACCCTCTGACAAATTCAATTGACAAGTCACTTGTATCATTTTGTTTATGTACTTTAGGTCTGGAACTGTTGAATCAGAAGACCGCAAAATTCGCTTTGGTCAACTGGAAAACCTGTTTTTGGATAACAATGAACTGACAGATATCTCAACATTCTCAAGTCTTGCTGGTCTTAGGAAGTAAGTTTCAAGAAGAGTTGTTTTGTCATGGTTTATCTCTAGCTCATGGCATTTTGCTCTGTTCCAGATTGAAATATCTAAACTTAGAAAACAATGAAATTACTTCAATACCTCATCTCCGTCTTCTTGGGGGAAGAGTGCGTCCAAAGGAAGATGAGTTGGCTGCAAAACACAGCTCAGTGCAATTCACATCAACAGAGCTACCATCAGATGAAAATGGGACAGAGGAAGAAGAAAAAGGAATGAATCAGGACGACAAAGAAGGGCTGATTATGGATGAAGTTGATGAATTGCTTGGAATGAAACTCCCTGGAGATGAAAATGGAGATGTTAATGGTGAATCTGAGATTATAAAGTTGAGACATCGTGCAAGCACAATAACAGAGGATACTTCATTATTAGGTACTATACTACTAGTAG